TTAAAGAAAAATAAAAATAAAACTCTTTCTTTTTACTAAAAAGAAGTGACTTATGTTTATATATAAAGATAAGTCACTTACTCTTTTTAGTAAAAAGAAAGAGTAAAAAGATAGAGTAACAATATAATTGTTTATGATTTATCACTTTATGTTTATTAAACAATATAAAATCAGAAACAATGAAAAGGGAAAAAATCAGAAATAAAAATAAAATATTATTTCAAAAACACATCACCATACATATCACTATGATTTAGAAAATCCTCGAATTGATACAACAGAAAATGCTAAAATTTATATAGAGTTAAAATTAACATTTAAAACCACATTATAACACATTAACAAAGATTCATTAAATAAACTGCAAACCACGCAATCATTCCCAGATGTTCTTGAGCTTTTTCCGTCAGAGTTACAAATATCAATTAGGAAAACTATTGAATCTAAAAAAGCTGTTTTAGGGTTAACTTGTCTTGCGTGTGAGTAAATAAAAGATGGCGTATAACAAAAACGATTTTTTATACTTGTTTTATTTTTGGAAACTTATTAGGAACTTACTAAGTAATTCGTTTAATTCTGATAATTACTTAGTAGGAACTTACTACGATTAGCAGAAAATTGATAAACGTCATTTGACTAATGGGAAACATAATAGCCGTATTAAGCGAAAACTTACCAGGATTAGCCGTATTAGCAGGAACTTAACAGGATTAATAGGAAGTTAAACAGATTCCTAGTAGTAATAGCCGGGTTTTTTTTTGGGAGATTTATAAAAGTATAAATTGATGAATCATTAATAATTCGCTTTTATTTTTAATAATTTTATTTTATTTTTTCCATATATTTTGTTGATGTTTTTTTGTGAAATTATAAACACTGGAAAGTAGTCTGAAATGTCATTGATAAATATTCCAGTCTTAACTTTTTTTTTTCAGTTTTTGAAATTGTTAACTATGATTTGATCAACTAGTGTAGTACTATTTTTTGTTATGTGTGTTGGATTGTTAATTGTTAGAATGAAACCATTTTAAAATAGAGTGTTGGTAAAATTTTGACGTTTTTATTTTTTTCATAATCGAGCTAGTCTAAATTGAGATCACCCACAAAATAAATTAGTTTGCCACAAATATCACTTTTTGTAATTAGACTATTAAAGTGTTTGTTGAATGCTTTTATTTTACCTGAAGGCGGTCTATATATGACGTGCAAGATTATGTTTTTGCTGGTGTTGTGTATTACCTTAATCGTTAATAGCTCATAATCTTTTGTTATTGAGCACACTTCATTACGAAGTTTAAAATTTAAATAATTGTGTATAAAAATGCACCCTCCTCCTCCTGCTTTTTCAGGTCCTTTTATTTGATAATTTGATAATTATTTATTTAGAAGTTAGAGTTATTTTCAATTTCTTTATTCCTGCACTTTTTACACTTGAATTGATTTAGAGCTAATATTTTAATTAGATTTTTTGGCTTGCTTTGCTGCTTTTTTGCTCTCAGCAACTTTTAACAATACAAGTGCTTCAGGTTTGAATAGGAGCTTTTCTTCAAATCTCAGCAGATCTACATTTTTTCTTTTTTTGTATATCAACATGTTCGATACAAAACATTTGTTGAAAAGCTGCTGCAAATGCTTGGGCTGTGTACAATTGTTTTGCAACCTCTTTTTGAGTTTCCTTTCGAAAGGAAAATTTCTACAATATTGAAGGTGGTTTGCAGACAAGATGACTTTTGAGATCACTTTGGAGTTGATACTATGTGACATATGCTGATGCTAGATGTTGTTTGGGTAGATTCACAAGGCAGTGGCTGAGGTGGTAAAGTTCCTTGTGCTAGATTTAGTGATGGTACTATCGTAAACTCTGGTTGTTGAGATGATGAAGGCTCAGGTTCAGATGTCAGTGTTTCAAACGTGTTAGCAATTTGCAGCTTTGACTGATCGATTTTATAGATGTCGAGTGGAAACATTCACGTATTCTGAAACCCAGTGGCTATCTGGGTACGTGTCAAAACTTCACTAGAGCTGAAAGATTTTTTTTGCAGGTGACTGAAAGGTTTCTTTGATAAGTTGCTGAACTCTGTCTCTGCATAAAATTGTTGAAGTAATTTGCGCCACATTCTTTTGACAAAACAATAAACCCAACATCTAGTGGCTGCAGAATGTGCGACAAGTGAGCCATAAGCAAATTAGCAAGAAAGTAACTAGCGTATTTCATTCATTTATTAAAGCCATCTTATTGAAGCAGTAAGTAAAAGTCATTTAAATTTAATTAGAAAAATTCGTTAATTGAAATTTATACAAAAAAACTTATAGTTGAAGATTTATTGGTCACTTGAGATCAAATAAAAAAAACCCACTTTTAAGAAATAAGCCATTACTTCGTATTTATTTATTTATCAGCATATTTAATTCAACCCCACCACATTCCGTTCCCGATTTTAACTCATAATTTTTTTCCTAAATAGCAAATTTAGTTTTGAGAACAGATTCTTGATCGATCTTAAAATATTGTACTAGTAAACATTTCAATTTTAAATTTTTTTTTAATAAAAATAAAAGTTTATACAATCTTACTCAGAAAAATATTCTCTACAATATAATTAAAAAAATATTTGCAAAATAATTATTCAATAGTTAATTAAGAGCTAAAGAATAAACATAGTCTTAACTATTTAATTCTACCCGCTATATCATTTTACCCTGTTTTACTCCATCATATTTGTATTTAGTTTATTTTTTTGTCTAAATAATTTATAACTATGATGCCTACAGACTTTTTTAATGTTCTAGTTATAACACTTTGACCGCTTGTACATCGTTAAACTTAAGTAAGTTCATACCTATGTCAAATGATGAGGCCTTGCAAAAAATCGTGATTGTGAAAGCTAATAAAATAAAAAAAATGTAGATAGTTGTTTGCAGTAAATAACTGAGTATTGTTGGAATTAAAACTTCCCAGCAAACACACGAACGTCAGAAGGACGTCGCGAGGACGTCCTACTCTGACGGTCCGTTTATAGTCGCAAAGTGTAATCCCGCTTGACGTCAAATAAAGACGTCGTAATGACGTTGCGTTTGTAACTATAAACTGACCGTCTGGATGTAGCGTCTTCTTGACGTAAACTCTATGTTCATATAAACACGTATTTTGCTTGAGGGAAACCCCTTTAACAAATTCAAAAAAAAAAAACTTTAATAACAATATTGTTTTATTTTAAAGGAGCAAACAACCTAATTTTTCTTAGGCCTAATATGTTGTAAAAAAAAACTTATACTAGTCATTGCATGGAGTGATATTGTTGAATAATATCCATGTTGATTTATGTCAACCATTTCACATAATTATTTAGAGAAACTAAATTTAAAAAAATCTAAACAAAAAATATACTTACTTTGAAATGATGCAACAGATATACTCATTGTATCTGTACTATTATTCGAAAACACCTGATTCTTTACAGGAGACAACAGTTCAGAGCTACTGCTACTACTGAAATCCACTGATGCTGCTAAAAATATTCGATGACATGAATTTTTAAATTCAACAAAGATTAAACATGATACGAACATGTACAATATGTCTAAAGTGTTATCAAAATCACCATATGCAAAAATTTAGCACAAAAAAATAGCATAAAATAAGTTTAAACAACATACTTAGAAATAATCAAAAATGGAAAGTATACTAATAAAATGTGCTCTACGCATAACATACATAATTGATGTGATCTAAGAATTGAAGCATCCTCTAATACCAACTTCCTTTTCTTTTTATCCGGGGAACTGTATTTAGGATCCTCCACTACCAACTTCCTTTTGCTTATATCTGGGGAACTGGATTTAGGAAAGTTGAACTTTATCAGTAAATATATCATTAATGACTTTTGTTTTATATTATAGGAATTTATTACCATAAACTGTCAATAATCATTAAATGCAATTATAAAAAATAAGCGATATTTGGAAATAAAAATATAAAAAATTATTAGTATTTACATATTACTTATCATTAATTCAATATATCAATGAAATGATATAAATATTAAAAACAGGATAAATGTATTTAAGAAAAATTCTCCTTTAAAAAATGAGTCCTGTAGATTACAGCAGAAAATAAGTAAGTTAAAATAAAAAAGTTTTGTTTCTTTACCTTTTCTACTACTTAGCATAATTTAAAATTTTCTGATAATTCAACTTTTTCTACAGAAATATTCTCTTATAAACAATCTGGTAACTAAATGTTAATAAAGCGTAAACATTTGTTGTTTTTTGTTTGATACTTCCTCGATTAAAACTCTGCGCAAAACTTAGTTTATAAAAGCTTTTTTGGAACAGATAATTATTATAATGATTTTAAAATAGTATTGCTTATTAAAATAGTAACTTGTATCAGTCATCCTGTACTACATTTTAAAAGTAAAAAAACAAAACATTTACCATTATTATTTGGAGGTGAGGTACAATTATCTGTGAAAGTAAAGTTAAAATTCTCACAAGTATGGAGATCATCTGATATATAAAAAAGTAAACATATAAAGTAAACATAGCATCAACAAAGTAATACACATTACATCCTTGCATTAGGTTATCAACATTTTTTTTAAATGTCATAAATACATTAGAAAAATATGAATAATGTATATACATTTCAGAAAAATTTTTCTCAAAAAATGCATAGATGCATTTTTTGATAAGAATTTGTATGCAGAACTGTATGCAGCTAAAATAAAATAAGTTGAAATAAAATGTTTTTTTTTACCTTTATCGCTGTTCCTGCTTCTAACTGATGAATGTGATTGAGATGTGTGTTTTTATTTTGTTTTCATAACCAGTAACTTTATTAGGCTCTAAAATTAGAGATCTTAACAATTCAATTTTTATACTTAAAAAACAAAAAAATAAAAATGAATAATAAAATAAAAAATTAATTAAGATGAATACACAAAAACACATCAACCTAACAGTTTTACTTCTAAAATAAATACCATAAACAGCATAACTTAATTTTTTGGACAAGACAAATTTTTTCTCAAAATTGCTACCTACGTTTTCTCTTAAACATTCTGGGAACTAAAAGCACTTAAGTGTAAACACTTGAACTAGAAATCTTTTGATAATTTAATTATTCAAAACGTAATTTATTAAGGCTCTTTTAGAATGCCTCATTGTTTGGGAAGGAAACTTTCATAAGTCACAAAAATACAAGCCTACCATGTTTATATTTTGGAGGTGAGTTACAACCATCTGCATCTGTGGTAAAGTTGAAATCTTCACAAGTATGACGATCATCTTAAAAGAAAAAATTAAATAATATAAAAAAAGTAATAAATCATTTCATGCATTTCATTTGCTAAGCTTAGTTAACAGAAAAAATTAAATTAAATACTGTTAAGTTAAATGTCTTCTAAAAAAAATAAGTACAATATAAATCTTATCAATTACAATGAACACATAGATCGAGTCTTACTTGAACAACATTTTAGTTTAACCAGATCAAACTTCAACCAATTTTTGTTAGGGGATCTACCTTCTGATAAAGCTCTTAATGCATTAACTTTAACAGGCCATCTAATAAATTCACCCTGAACCCATTTAGTAAGGATAGTGCCTTCTTCCTCATCATCTCCTTCCATCCAAACTGCTCTTGTCCATTTAAACTCTTCACCTTGGCTCATACTAGTTAAATCAAAACTAAATATATAATTCCTTAACTGCAGGGGTTGGTTGGGTCCAAGTAAAGCTCCTTAGCCATGACAAAGGCTAAAATGCCTTTAGGACTGAAAAGAAAAAGACTGAGAAGAAAAACTACCTACATTTTGTCACAATAATAAAAAAAGTAAAGGAAATTCAATGTAGGGCCATATATTGTGTTATAGTTATTTATATAACTATCAAATATCTAGCCATAATATTCAGCAACATTAAAACAAATTAATTTACTGAAACATAGTATCAGTGTGACTTTAAACTAACTGATTGATTCTTATGTTCTCTCTATATAGATTTAAAAAATATTGAATACCATTCGTAATCAAAATTTAAACTAAGGCTTAAATTCCTTGCAAAACTTTTACATACAAAAAATCATGCATAATAACACAGATGCATTTTAAAATAGCAACGTATGAATTTAAAAGATTATCAGATTATTCTATCAATACATGTCTAAAATAAAATCAAAGAAGATTAAAACCAGAAAAAATAACTATTAAAAAAAAAAAATTAATATTTTTAAAATCCAAAATTAAAAAAAAAAAAAAGTAATAATACAGGCAAATAGATACACAAATAAAATAAATGTGCATAATCTAGAATCGATGCAAAAGTGGAAAAATAGCATGCCCACGCTGTTCAGGTATAGAAACACATTTATTTATCAAATTCTTTCTTTCTAAAACTTTAGATTTATAGTTCTTGTTTAGATCATTTATTAAGTATATGTTGAATAACTTAGACTCTGCAGGTTCCACATAAACATTTTTGCATGTTACAGGGTCTGAACACTTTACACTGCATTTTATCTTGTACAATTCTGTCAACTAATGCCACATCTCCATTTTGCAACATAAAACATCCGTCTCTTAAGTTAGGGGAAATCTTATTTACTTTTTTTTTTTTTGGTAAAAACATGAACGCATTTTCATACTCTTTGATGTTCAACATCATTCACTAAATGTAATAAATTATGTACGTTATACACAACAAAACATTCACCATACAAACTTGGTGATTTTCTAACAAAATAATTTAATAGCTCTCTAGCATAGTTGATATACTGAGAGCGAATATCAATATTATCTGTAAGTAATATAGAAACGGCAATGCTTAATGAGAGGAAATGTTTATACTGCTCATTTGACAAAACTCTTTTTAAAACTACAGGTCCCGTGTACAACAAAAAGAAGCGAAACTCTGTAGTTTTCCATCTGTCAACATCATTTACTTGCCTTGGTTGCCTTGCAAATTCAGTTGGCAAACACCCATTTAAAGCACCATGCAGGTTCGATAAGTGAGTTCTTTGCTGCATGGAAATACGCCCTTTTTTCCACTTTTCAAAAATCTAATTAATCTTCTCACAATTCCTAGACAAACTAAGTGCATATAGTCTAAAACAAATGCTTTGATACATGAAATCCCAGCCTCTACTGAAGGTGTTTGATCTTTTTGATGATTGGGATAGCCAAAGTTATTAAAAACCAATTCATCTCTCTTAACCATATTTTCTTCTGGCAGAAATACTACACGGTCATCAACATATGTACCAACAATTTCACATTGCTCGCATGAGTTGTATCCCACGTGAAGCACAATTGACTTCATAAAAGCTCTGGCTGGAGCATCACAGAGAAAAGAACTAATGGAAACAGATAATTTTTTTTTATTGAGATTAAACCATTGGTATGCAAGTTTTTATAGTCATTCAAAAAATCATTTAAGAAATCATTTAAAGAATTGGGTTTACTGAGACCACAAAACAATGAACAAATGAATATATCACCAGTAGAAAACTTGCATAATATTGGCCATAAATGGCAACTTGAAGATTTAAACAATGGAATTCCATCAACATTAACGTTTAATTTAATTTCAGTGCACTCTGGAATTTGAGAAAGAACTTTTAAAATTCCATTTCTCAAACCGAAATGGACATATTCTCCTCCGCATTTTGAAACAACAGATGTTCGACGAGGTGTATGCAGCAATGTCCGGTAATCTTTGGGAACCTGCAAGCCTTCAACTTGTAAAATCTCCAAAATTTCATTTATTGATGCAGAAGACCATTGATGTTTAATTGCACATATAGCAAGTTTCTCCTTTAAGTTAAAGTTTAACGATGATGATTTACTTTCAACTATATCAGAATTTAATAAAGAACTCTCATCAGAAGATCTAACTAGGTCATTGTCTTTATTATTGATGCTATTAGTTTCATTAAAACTAAGTTTGATATATGAGGAGCACAGTATCGGATTTAAAGTAAATAACTGTTCATTAAACACACTTTCATCATCATTACTACTAAAAATTAACATTTCTTGTAACTCTTTTTTCCTTTTTCTATACTGCTTCATATATTTTGCCATTCTTTAAAACTAAAAATCAAAATGCAATGAAATTAAATTATTCAAGAAGTTATTTCCTTATTATAAATGTTTAGTTTAGTTTAATTAATGTTTACTTCCCTAAGAAAGGCCTTAACATTCCCAAGTAAGGAACTAAACATTAATTGGAACTAAACAACTAAATTAAACTAAATATTAATAATTCTAAACTTTTAAAATTCTTTTTGCCAAAAAAGAACCACTTGATTTTTTAAAAATCATTATAATTAAACCGATTTTTTAAAAAATCAAGGGAGGTTGCTTCCTTGCACAAGTAACAAACTCAACTTTTACTATAAATCGGAATAATGGAATCCGAAAAAAACCACAAACACAGAAACTAACCTTATAATCCTAAGATAGATTGATCTGTATGCCTCTATAAATATTTGCTATATATTACCTAACAAAATTTCCCATGCGGCTTAAGTTTAAACATTAAGCCGCATGGGTAATTTCGTTAGAAAAAAAAATCCGCATAGTCAGCATCGGACGTCAATAGTACGTCTTTCTAAGGTCAGATACTAACGTGGCAGTAAGGTCAGACATTTGACTGTCGCATTTAAGTTGCGTTTTGGTAATATGACCGACTGACCATTATAGGACGTCAAACGGACGTCCTCCTGACGTCTTGTGTTTGCTGGGATACAAGCCACTGTGTGCCCTAATCTGTTACGCAAGTAAGATCAGATTAAAAATATTCTGCCTGTTCTATGCGATTAAAAAGAGAAGATTTTGTCAAGATAAGAGAAAAAAATTGTGAAATAAGTGTTACTTAAGTTTTAAGGTTGTTGAAATGATCATTTATATATATAAGAAAAAAGACCAGGGCTAGACCTTTGAGTTACCCCAGAAGTTACTAAAAATAAGGAAAAGTGTTGGCCTTCGGGAATGACTTTAATAAAACGGTTAGAATAAATCGATTTGATAAAATCAAAATCTTTTTGACATACACCATATTAAAAAGACATATGAAGAAGACCACCATGCCAAACTTTTTATAATACCTTAGCTATATCAAAAACAAAGACCTAGCTTCTCCGCTTTTATTTAATGCACGATAAAATTATTTAGTCAAAGAGCGAGAGAATCTAAAACCGTATTGATAATCTGACGTTATGTTATTTGACTTAAGATAGGATGCGAGAAATTTGTTTACCAAATACACAAAGATCTTCCTTATATCAAAAAGATAACTAATTAGACAATAATTGGAGAGGTCAGAATAATCACAGGATTTTTTGAAAATTGGAACAACAGATGTAATTTTCAAGTAGGCAGGAAATCAAAACTCTGTCAAGCACTTAATAACTAATTTTTAAAGACTGTAAAAGGAATGATAAGGTTTATTCGAGATATAAACGGAGATATAAATGGAGATATGAACAGAGATATAAACAGAGATATGAACGAATATATGAACGGAGGTATCAATGGAGATATGAACGAAGATATGAATGGAGATGTGAATAGCAATTGGAAGGATTATAATGGGTTTAACTAACAATGGGTTTAACTAATTAATTGGAATGGAAGAAAGAGAACAGCCATAAGATTTAAATGTCAAATTGAAAGAAAAATTTTTATAAATTAGTTCTACCTTATCGTTAGGAGAGATAATAAGACATAATAATGAGCGCTGTAAAAGGTAATGTTAGATCTTTTTTTGATTACGACGCTGTTAAAGATTTTTCAAAAACCTCTAGAATATAACTTCTGAGATAAGGTACGAGATTTATTGAACTGAGAATAATGGAGTTTACTATCTGAAAACACCTTTTACATCAATTTCTTTCAATAATAAGTAGCCTTTGTTCTCAAAAAAGTTGTTGTTTCGGAAAAGATAAAAAAATGGTTACCAAATATTTTAGCAGCTGTACAATATGGTAAAAATCATAATGTAGAATGAGGCTTTACTTGAAACTGATAAGAAGAAATAAAAGCTTTCATTACTGCCTGAATCCACGATGTTACGTAGGCGGTGCATTTTTTGACACCAACTCACCTTTAAGGTAGTAATAAGTAATTCGATTATAGGGCAAGTCCAAATAGAAAGTACGAGATAAATGATTTTAAAAGATCATTGCATGGTTCGATCAATCTAAAGTAGAAAAAAGAAGAAACTGGACTCAAACAAGAACCAAAGACTAGAAATAAATCTAGGAATGAGAGTAAATGATTAGTGTTGTCAGAAAAAAGAGTCACAATGTTTACAATTTGAGTAAAAGATTGAGAAATGCAGAAGTTATTGGCTCTAGTGCCAGCAAGGTCAGTGCCATTAAAGCAAAACTTTTCAGGGTGATGAGTATTAAAGTCACTATTAACAACAAAATTGGCAGAGTGATAATAAGAGAGAGGACATGGTCCTCTTAATTAAATATTGCAATTAAAAGAGTGCACTCTTGGAATCAAGGAGACTAGTAAGAAATAAAGAAAAAGGTGTTAGAGTGAAGAGGTGTTAAGTGGAAACATTTAAAAGAAAGGTCAAATGATTGAAATCTGATTTGATGATAAAATAGGTGAATTGATGCTTATGTATACCTCAACGCCACGCATGAGACTATTGGGCTCTTTGCAAGTTAAACGATAGTACCCACTAATATGAAGATCGAAAAAAAAATAGCAAAACTTAAATTAGTTTCATTAGGAGCAAATAGACCTGATAAATTTTGCAAGAGGTACAATTCTACTAAAGGATATTTTCTTTGCAGACCACAAATAGAAATAAAACATATACTAAAATATAGGCCCGTTTGTATTAAATACCAGCCTTTAATACCAGCCGGCCTCAGAACCATTACATTGAGTTTTAGAGAAGTACCCTTATAAAGTCTTAACAGGAAGAGTTGCATTGCCACTATCAAGGAGAAATAAATGAAAATCTATGAAAAGATTCATGAAGAGCAAGCATTCATCAGTCTAGACAGAAAACGATGTAACACAGATTTATATCTACGCCAGTCTAACGGATAAAAAAGTGTTCTAGTCTTATCAAAAGAAATATTTTGCTTTTCCAAAAAAATCGTTGCCTAGGAGGCCTTCTACAAGACATTATCTTGTTAACATCTGTCCAAGATGTGTATATTTATCGAGACACCATCTTTAGCCTTTACTCAACCAAGAGCACCAAGGCCGGTGAATTTCAGTTGGATGCAGTTAACATCTGCCCAAGATGAGTATTTCTATCAAGACATTATCTCTAGCCATTACTTAACCAAGAGTCTCAAAGAAAGGATTTTTTAAGTCAGAATTTTTTTCTGTTTCCCTTTGCATAAAAAAGCATACTCTTGAAGACAGCAGGCGATGTGAAAGGTCGTACTGGGGGACATTATAGCAGTACCAGAGTGATCGTCATGATCCTAAACCTGACCTGACCTGGAATAATTAAAAGAAAAAAAGGAAAATAAATATGTCTTACAAAACACTAGTAAAAAGGGTGAGCGTAGGTTTTATAGTTGGAGTATGTATTTAGTTAACGAGCTTACACTGTATCAAAACAGATTTAAACATTTACACTGGAGATTCAAACATTGAAACAAAACAAGTATATATATATATATATATATATATATATATATATATATATATATATATATATATATATATATATATATATATATATATATATATATATATATATATATATATATATATATATATATATATATATATATATATACATATATATATATATATATATATATATATATATATATATATATATATATATATATATATATATATATATATATATATATATATATAAATCTTAAAATGGTATTTAATTCACTAAAGTAAAAAAAATATTTTGTTTACGAATTTATTAAAGGTAGGGATGTACCTAAATTACACCCCATAAAGCACACAATATAATATCTTGTTTTTACAAATTATATGCTAAATATTTTGTTTAATAAAAGTAGTATAGCTTAACGTACAAAATTTATATATTAAGATTGGCTTTTTCATTTACGCTTTAGCTATTTTCATAACTTTAACCAAGAGTCCAATATGATTATTCAAAAGAATATATAATCCAAAATATAACAATTAAAATCCGTTAGTGTAATAACGTATTTTAAGATATCAAAAAAACAATTATTATAAATTATTGTTCTTCAAAAAAACAATTATTGTTCTTAAAAAAACAGTTATTGTTCTTAAAAAACAATTATTGTCCCAAAAAAAACAATTATTCTTCTTAAAAAGTTAAATATACTTCTAATACTTAAAAAATGCAACAAACTTTATAAAATGTTATTTATATGATGTTAGTTAGCAATGGTTGCAATGATGGTTGGTTTGAGTATGGAAGGTTTTGCTATTTTTTTCAAAATAAAATATTGAAAAGAAAAAGTTGGAATGATGCTTTATTATCGTGTCAAGATATGGGTGCGCATTTGTTAAGTATTGAGGATCAAGCTGAAAATACTTTTATTAAAAACATTCTTAAAGATGACAGCCTGAAAAAAGATAATTACTGGATTGGTAAGATAATTGTTATTTTTATAACTTATATTTTTAATTTTGACTGCTATTAATTCCTTTTTGATATACTTTTCTATATTTTTAAAAATAAACTAAGTTAATAAAAGATCCTAATTTATTTTTAAAATGTGATTGTTTCTGATTATATTTATTTTACTTTATATTATAAAATATATTTATTATAAATTTGTATAAAATTTATATTTAAGGTCTTAATGATGATTGCAATATTAGAGAGTTTAAATGGTCAGATAATAAATATTTACAGTTTTCCAATTGGTTACCAAATAAACCAGACAACCTTCTATTCGGAGAAAACTGTGTAAAAACAAATATAAATGGTTGGGATGATTATGATTGTAATAATTATGATGGGTTTATTTGTAAATCCTTAAAAGGTAATACATAGTTATATTTAATTAAATGAGTATAATTTTAATGGAACGAACTGTTAGCTTCTGGTTTAAATAAAATTAGCTAAACTTTTTGTTTCCTAAATTTATTATAAATTTAAGTATTTGAAATTATTCTATGTGCAACTATATAATATAGTGTTTAGAAATAAAAAAACAATTTACTGAAATGTTAATTGTTTAATATTAATGTATTTTATTAGGCATATCTTAGCATATACCTCGGTAGAGAATAAGATGGGAGGGAAGATCTAGGTTTATTGCACTTTTAGGACTATTTTTTTCTCACTTTTTAGCTAACAATCTTTCTAGCTAAAAAGTGATATATACGTGATACGATATATCAATAGCTGCATATTTTAGCTTTGTTACTAGCTACACAAATTTAATTGTGCTGCTAGAAACAATTCTTCAGCAATATTTATTGGCACGTTTTTATTTAACAAGATGTATTAATCTTTTACAGAAAGACGTGCGATCGCACGTCATTTTATGACCAGGCAAATCATATTTTACTTTGAAGACTTGACCGCGGCAATATCTAAAAACATTTTAAAAAAGTTTAATGAAAAATAATATAAAAAAGAATTATATAAATTAGTTTAATGAAAAATAATATAAAAAAGAATTATATAAATTAGTTATAATTTATCATATATATTATTGCAGAACTTAATGGTAGTAGTAGTAGTAGTAGTAGTAGTAGTAGTAGTAGTAGTAGTAGTAGTAGTAGTAGTAGTAGTAGTAGTAGTAGTAGTAGTAGTAGTAGTAGTAGTAGTAGGAGTAGTAGTAATAGTAGTAGTAGTAGTAGTAGTAGTAGTAGTAGTAGTAGTAGTAGTAGTAGTAGTAGTAGTAGTAGTAGTAGTAGTAGTAGTAGTAGTAGTAGTTGTAGTAGTAGTAGTAGTAGTAGTAGTAGTAGTAGTAGTAGTAGTAGTAGTAGTAGTAGTAGTAGTAGGAGTAGTAGTAATAGTAGTAGTAGTAGTAGTAGTAGTAGTAGTAGTAGTAGTAGTAGTAGTAGTAGTAGTAGTAGTAGTAGTAGTAGTTGTAGTAGTAGTAGTAGTAGTAGTTGTAGTAGTAGTAGTAGTACGAACGTATTGACACAGAACCCATGGTAGCCATTGCAACCGAGGTAGTAAGGAGGAAGAGTCGCAGCAGTTTGTTTTATAAGAAAACGTGAACTAACGAGTATGTAAATTTCTAACGTAATGGTGAAACATAATGAAACATTTTTCAAGTTTTACTGTGTGATTTTCACTTGAAAATTGCATTGCGTCAAGCTCTCCTTTGTTTTGATCTATAACATTTGTTTCCGCTCAAAATATTACTATTTAGGTTAAAAAATTTCTTTTATCAATGTGACAGCATGGCCAAGTTGGTTGCGCGCTGAGCTTCTAAATAAATAAGCCGTGATTCGATTTCTACTACTGGCAACTTTTTTTAAAACTTTTTCTAACTGTTTTAAATACAAAATACTTTTGAAGTTTTTTAGAGATTATATACAAACATATGTAACAATATTAGAGGGGAAGACGGGGCAACATAACGAACGTTTCGAAAGTCCTTGTTTCCTGCAAGACTACCAGTCACAGCTCACTAATATATTGTCAATATGTATTTGTTACCCTAATTTTTTAATATCCGCCAAGGTATTTAGTTAATTACAATACAAACATACCCAAATAAATAAAATATAAAAATTCTTTAAATTTTAAACTAAAACTGCGTTTTTCAATTAGACATTGGAAAATGTAATTAGGTTTAACTCAATTAATTGCAAAACAAAGTCAGGTTGCTCATTCCTTACCTAATTGGGGTTGCTGTACCATATATATATATATATATATATATATATATATATATATATATCTATATATATATATATATATATATATATATATATATATATATATATATATATATATATATATATATATATATATATATATATATATATATATATATATATATATATATATATATATATATATATATATATATATATATATATATATATATATATATATATATATATATATATATATATATATATATATATATATATATATATATATATATATATATATAAATATATATATATATATATATATTGATAAAAAATTCTTCATGTTTTTATAGTCGCGTTTCTTGTTTTTGCAATTAAGCAAAATGACGGATGCTGGCTTCACTAAAGCCTTATGGGTAATAAACTGCTAGTCATGCATCTAGTTATATCTATGCGTCATTGATGCGATTTTAACGCATCAATTTTAATGCGATATACATTTATTTATGACGGTATTTTAGTTAGCCTCTTTAAAACGGTATGTTGATAGCTACATAACTTATCTGTGTAGCTTACTAAAATAAAATTAAAAAATTAACCTTTTATATTGATTTTATTGATGTTAATATTTTTAATATTTTATTTTACGTAACTGTAGCACAATGACAAATCTGTATTTGTTTGGTAGCTATAATATATTTTAAAGATAGTCACTTAATACTTATATTTAATGCATACACATCTTAAATGCTAGAGGTACAGGAGATCAGTAATTTTTAAAACTACAATTGGCTGCTATTAAGCAATAAGTATCAAGGTAGCAAGTTTAACTTAATAAACATATTTATAATACTTGAATACTTGTTGTAACAAAGAAACATTTTATTATAGTACATGTAACAAGGTTGTAGATTTTACAAATTATTTATAATGAACCTAAGTAATATAGTAACATTTTACAAACAAAAGCTGTACATTTTAAAAACTCTGTTTTTACGATGTCCGTGCATAAATTAAACTGCTTGATAAGGGTATATAAATGAGACCACATGATCTCCTGATAATTAAGCATTGACAAGTTTTTTTTAATTATGAAACTTAAGTTTAAAAACTTGAATTTACACCTAAACTATTTACTTAAATTTGTGAACAAAAACTAAACTTTGCTAACCTGATTAAAAGACGATCATAATTAGGTGTCGTCAAATGCGGTCTTTCAGAACAATGGCGATCAACGTAAAATTTCGCCTCTCTGAATCTTTTGATGATTGGTAATATCAAACTATACAATTGTTTTGTTTTTTATTATTTTTCAAATTTTACTTGCGGTTTTCTTTCTTGTAATACTGCACTACTTTTACACGAACTTCTTAATATCAATTCGGATCTCTGTGTCAGAAGATAAAAAAACTGATAATTCTTAAACAGATTTAAGCACTTGAACATTAGCTTCAAAGAGTAAAAGAGTAAAAACTGTTTATCTGTAGGTACGGTTTTCTTCCAAACATCACTTCTGTATCGCGTAAGTATATACTTGAAACATCTCGTGGTTACAGTGGAGAGTATTTTGAGGTAACTCACATCTAACCTGGAACAAGCATCTTTCAACGAAGCACTGAAGGCTGTTGATTTATGAAGCCTGGTAGTAAGTGAGCTAACTTTAAGAAAAATATATTTCAGTTCCGGGGTACTCTAAACTGTTCTGGAAAGTGCAGTGTTGAGTTTGTGATCACTGCATGTAACGGAGCCTTCTTCTTTAGTCATTAAAAACACGCTGTTGTTTAGAGCACATGCCATATTTGATGCCTGATCAATAATTTATAGCTTATTTGGTATTTTTTTAATGATTCAGGGCATGAGAACGTGTTATCAAATGCTTTTGTAATGTTGATACCAGTGTGTTGCTCTTTGAATAGGCACACTTCTAATGTAAATTTTTTTAGGGAAAAGTCTGGAGAGATATAATGTAATGTAATGGAAATGTATGAATCATTTGTCTTGTCCAGATGTCCAGTGGTTGCCTTGTCCAGATGGTCCAGTGGTTGCCTTGTCCTAGATGTCCAGTGGTTGGTGGTTTTGGCAACCTGATTAAGATCTATGAACTCTTTTTCCATAACTTCATGCATTACTACCTTCATTGTGATCGTAAAACCGAGTTTAGTTTTTGAGAAAATTGTTGAATGTTTTGTTGTAACATTTGGTAATATTTTGTTCATAAACCTCTTAAAACTTACCAAATCTGCAAAACTGAACAAAAAGCACTCAGTAGCAATCTAAGTAATGATGTCATGATCAACTACTAATTGACGCCAATCAAAAAAAAGTAGACGGGCGGAGATTTCTTTGTGATCTCCGCCCGTCTTCTTTTTTTTAAAGTTCGATGAAACATCCTATGTTTTGTTTGAATATGCTTTTGTAAGCTAGTAGTATTTGCATGCTTTGTTGCAACCTTATTTTCACAAGTTTAACATAGAAAAGATTCTCCTAAAAAATGTAGCAAATAAAAAAAAAAAAAAAATTTTTTTATCATAATTTTATTTTATTTTTATTAAAAACAAAAAACCCGGGCCACATCGAACTCGCTTGGGGGCCTAAGTCAAAATTAAGGTTTTGAGGCTTTTACTGTAAATTTTATCTCTAAAAAATGTCCAAGGAACTAATTAATTTGAGAAATCTTATTACCAAAAAAGACCCTTAAATAGTCGTGAATTTAATTTTTTTTTACAATTAGTTAGTTGGTATCTTTATGTGAAACAAAAAAAAATTCAGAGTGGGTCGACATACGACCTGGAAAACAATTTAGCACACTGTGCTTTGCGACTTATGAGTAATTGTTACACCAATTAAATTGATTTTTTTTTAAATTCTAATAGTTAGCAAATAATAATAGTTGTAATATACCCACTGGACACGGGCGTAAAAAAAGATGTCTTTTAAACGTCTTAGACGCGTTTTGCACGTCTTTTGAACGTTAAAAAGACGTCTTTTTAACATTTTAGAACTCCGTGCTTTTATGTCATATAATTTAAATTTTATGAATGACTTGCATCTAGAACTCTGTGCTGTGTGAAGATAAGTTATTATATGTAAGAATAATTCTGCCGGTACTTAATTTTAGAATTGATTTCTGACATTGCCGGTAATTACCTTTTAAGATAAAATATAAAAAAATACTTAGTAAGTAGTGCTAACCTATATTTTT